ACATCTGACTTCCACATATACATGCATATATGTATAAACACACCTATATGCATATGTGAACATACCCCACATGAGCATCTCCAGATATAACAATACCTGTACTCACACCACACGTGAATACACCTAACAATATTCTGAAGTACAAGTGCTCTACTGGTGAGAGCAATGGGCTCAATGGGAGGCAGGAGTGGAAAAAGGGGGAAAATGTAATCAAAATGTGATACATATTTTATAGAAATATCATAATAAAACCTATTATTATGTATATTTAATACATGCTGATAACAATTTTAAAGATATTTTAAGATTAAAAATAAGCTATTTTATTTATGTGTGCTTGGGTTATATCGTGTGAACGCAGCATGCACAACTGGCCAGTTCTTTCATTCTACCATGGGATCTGGGATTTTGGATCCAACTCAGGTTGTTGGTATTATGTGGAAAGAATTTTTACCCAATGAGCCATCTCAGCCGTCCAAGATTTTTAATAGCTTATTTTGAAAAATTCTTGGAATAAAGAATATAAGGTACCAGCTTTATGAATCAATGGGGCACAATTGAAAAAAATGGTCAAGGAAAGCAAACCTTAATTAAACTGACCTTAGTTTAATGGTTATTATAAAATTTCTTTCTATATCCAGAAAGAAAAAGAGTCACTCATAAGGGGAAGCAGAAAGCTGCTGTAATTTCTTCAGAGCAATTTCAACAGATTACTGTGAAATATAAGGTAGTCCTCAAAAGGCCAGTTCTCCTAGCCCACTGATACTATAAGATACTGTACTGTGCAGCAATGAAATGAAATGAGCCATAGCTACGGGCCACATGCATAAATCTGAAGACAACACTAAGGGAAATAGGCAAGAACATAGGATATTGTTAATCTAATTGGACACACTGAACACAGATAAGATATTTGAGACAAGGGTTACTGGATCAGGCTGAGGAAACCTGCTGGAGCTAGGGAATTACTCATCTTGATTTGCATAGGGCTTATATAAATATATTCATACAGAGAAACGAACTCATTTGTATTGTTTTGACTTCATCTTGTTAAACTGTGTGTCAGCACTCTGTCTGGGAGGGTTAACAAACAAAATGCCAAGAGTTAAGAGGTTTCTGAACTCCTGGCAACCGAAAGTCAATTCTACATTAAATGCACATTGAAAGTGAGGTGTTTTTGACCACATGCTCCTAGGTTGCAATGTGTGACTTCACTGCAGACTTGGTTCTGAACACACAACAGGTACAGTTTGCACCAGACATACTGTCACACAGTGCAAAGTCAATGCACACTACCTGAAACATTACAGCTCAGGTGCCCGACTAAGGTGTATTATGAACTGCAATGTTTACTGTATATACATAGTTATCTGCTCCTATGTAAACACAAGGGCTTAATATTTTATACTGCTATTTCTTAGTGTGTGTATCAAATTAATATACCTTTGAACTGTACTGTTAGGATGATTAAATTTAAAAATTACTATTTAAGTATCTGACCTACTTTTATGAAATGTCACTTAGTAAAGTTTAGCTTGTCACTAAAACAAAATTTCCAATAGTTTTTGAAATTTCTCTAAATATTAGTCTGCCATTTCTCTCCTGTGGTATTCTCCGGATTGGTCATTTTAGAATATCAACAAACTCCCAAAAACATTAAAGATGCTGTGTGTCCTATGGATAAAATAATCATCTGAGACTTAATTCTTTAATAAAATAAACATAGATTATCATGTAGATTTGCTTTAATAAATTACAAAATTTTATACACATATATATCAGATAATTATTTTTAAATAAATGTACTTATGATTTACTATCAATAAAAATTTAATCTGCATACTATTCTATAGACCTATATACTACATAGCTTGGGTAATGAAAAAAATTAAGTAAAAAATGATCACAAACAGAATAATTTAAGATGCCCTATTTTAGGATTCACATTAGCTAAAGTGTAATGAACATACAAATTAAGGAAAGTTCCAAAGGGAAGTTTGGGGATGGAACTATTCAGTAGTCCCTGAAGTAGGTCAATATTACAGCAGGTGGGTTTGGGGAACAAAATTCACAGAAACTAAGACAATTGCAGAACTTATCTTTAAAAACCTGGGAGTGGGTACAAATCACAGAAGCTTGACACATCTGAAAGGAGTCTTTAAAATGTAAAGGTGTCTGCATTAGAAGATTTTGCACATATAATGAAAATTTAAATGCAATTAATTCCAGAAAAGCAAAGCAAAACAAAAGCTATGCTAGAAAGTGGAATAATTATATATTGTGTGGGCCAATGGTGTCAATGTATAATAGTCATAATGATGTTAAAATGGATTAGTTGTTAATTAGAAGCTGAGAGTAAATTATGCTAGACAATAAGACAGGTCAGGTGGACTAAGTGATATAAATTCATATATAGCATATCAGTAGGTAGATGCCAACATGTAATAGCTACCATAAAAACATATAAATAACAATTGGTATTCATCATAACACATGCATTCAGAATACATACAACTTGCATTTTGAACTTGTCAATACTGTAGATTAAAAAGTGACTTTAAATAAATAGTATCAATATTGAAGAGAAAAAGGAAGAAGTGTTGGAAGGGATTTTGGTTCTTCAGTTCCACAGGGAAGGACCTGTGTTAGGAACACAAAGGCAAGGGCACTGTTGGCAATCATTGCACTCAACATGCCGCCACTCTACATACATGAAAGAAATCAAAATAAATGACAGGCAAAATCTAACCCTAGTACAGCAGCACCAAAGAGAGGACATGGAAATATAGAAAATCAGAAAAAGGACAGAGGTGAGTTGAATCCATGTCATTGTAGAACTCAGATCAACACTGAGGGCATTGGGATTGCCTCACAAAACAGTGATCAACAACCAGAGAGGTGGTTATTCTGCAGAAAGCTAGCCTAGGATGCCCAAGGTCTACGTTCTATCCAAAGTACCACAATAAAAAAAAAACAAATAGTGAATAAACCAAGAAACTTGAATGAAATATAATTAAAAATAATAAATGGAGAAACAGCATTGTTTTGTTTCTCCATTTATCATTGAAGTTGACTAGGTATACATTAAGTTCATCTTTAATAATACATGTCATACAAATTTAGTAACTAAAATTTTACCCAAAAATCGATGCAAACTTTAGTCTTTCATCTTTGAACATGTTTTGCTCATGATGAAACCTGAGTAGGTATTCTCATTTCAATCAATAACCTCTTTGTGCAAATTTTCCAAAGATTAAATATCAGCATTAAGTGTCAGTCATTTCTTCCTGTTAGATGAAGTCCTGCAAGCCATGTGGTCTTTAATTTTCTCAACT